ATCCCGAACCCAGCATACACAACTTGGGTCTTGATTGATCAAAACCTCGCCGCGGCATTATACTCCATCATCTCTCCATCCATACTTCCATACGTTCTTTCGGTCGAGCATTGCGCCGAAATTTGGCAAACTCTTGATACTCGACTTCAATCTTGCACACGATCAAGAATCGCCCACCTAAAGAACGAACTCCATTTATTGTCGATGAAAGACAAATCAATGACGCAATATCTCCTTGACGTCAAATCCAAAGTCGACGCGCTAGCCGCCGCAGGAGCTACGGTCGACATCGAGGACATCATTCACTATACCCTCAACGGTCTTCCAAATACATACCAAGCCTTCAAAACGGCTATCAGAACAAACCTTCGCTCAGTCAGTCTTGATGAACTTTACACACTTCTCTGTAGTGAAGAGCTGAACCTGGCACATGACACCATCAAAGACCTCCAATCTCTCAATCTCGCCGGATCTCAAACGGCACTGACTGCTGGACGAGGCAAGGGTCGTGGTCGAGCAAACCAATATCGCGGCCGCTCGTCAACCAATCGCCAACAACCGACGTCAAACCAATCTCGCGGTGGTAAGCAGCCCCAACCATCCATCAACTGTCAGATATGCAGTAAGTTTGGGCATTCGACAATTAAGTGCCGGTACCGACATGACGACAACTACAACACCGAACCCACGTCGGCATTCTTCACGACTCCAACTCAACAACCATCCTCCGAATGGTTCCTAGATAGCGGGGCTTCAACTCATCTAACCTCCGATCCCAGCAACATCCAGCAATCACAAACCTATACACTTTGGACTTGATATTATCGCTAGCTGGACTGTTTGAAATGAATTTGGGAACTCCTACTGGTTGCTTTAGATCAACGCCACCTGGAACGTTAGAAACAACAATTTGAAATACCGATTTTGCTGAAATTTCTGGTTCTTCATGGAAATTCAAATTCGTAGGCTCTCCATCCAAGTTTGCATTCTTGCATGAATTAATTGTTGGGCATTTGATAGCACAGGATGAAACAGCCTCCGCACATGAATGATTAATATCAATCGCCATGTTGAAATCGGAATTCTGATATTCCAATTTATTATGACTTTCAACCCCACTCGAGAGAGAAAGAACGCAATTTCTGATTATATTGTGTATCTCCAAGAACATGAGTTTGACATTAGATTGGAAGATGATCCAATCATTTTTTTGTCAAGTAAAATAAAGTGTTAACTCTCATAAATTGATGGAAGCCATTGAGCATGAGATGAAATCCATGAAGGATGATGATGTTTGGGGTCTTGTAGAGTTGCTTGTATTAGCAAAAGCTATTGGTTGTAAATGAATTTTTAAAACTAAAATGGATGTAAAAGATAATGTTAAAAGATATAAAGCATGCTAGTTGCTAAGGGATTCACTCAAAAGGAATGCATTAATTATAAAGAGAATTTCTCTCCAGCTTCTTCGAAATGCTCTTTTAGAATCATTATGGTACTAGTAGCTCATTGTGATTTAGAGCTACACTATATGGATGTATAGATTATATTTCTTAATGCAGACATTTAGGAAACTACATATATGATGCAACTATAAAATTTTAAATCTTCATATTCAACACATCTGATATGCAAACTAACGAAATTATGGTTTAAAGCAAACATCTCGTCAATGGAATAAAAAATTTGATCAAGTGATTTCTTCTAATAGTTTCAAAGAAAATATTGTTGATCATAGCATTTATCACAAAACTAGTGGGAGTAAATTTATCATCCTTGTGTTATATGTGGATGATATTCTACTGGCAAGCAACTATATATATCTTTTGCATTAAACTAAGATATTTCTTTCAAATACATTTGAAATGAAAGATCTTGGGAATGCCTCATTTATGTTAGGCGTACAAATTCATCGAGATCGTTCTCATGATATACTTGGCTTATCACAAATAGCATATCTCGATAAAGTGCTAAGTAGATTTGGCATGAAGGATTGTGCACCAGGTAAGATGATAAATTCAATTTACAGCAATGCCCAAGAATTGAAAGTGAAAAGAAAGAAATGATGAGATTCATTTTGCATTTGCTGTAGGGAGTCTTATGTATGTTCCAGTTAATAAGCGTGCATATATTACATACATTATTGGAATGCTTAACATATATTTAAGTAACCCAGAAATGGATCATTAGAAAGCTGTAAAATGAGTTATGTGATATATGAAGAGAACTAAAGATTATATGCTCACTTATCGAAAATCAAATCACTTAGAGATCGTTGGATACTCTGATGATGATTTTGTTTATTGCCTTGATACTAGATCAACTTCAGGTTAAACTTTTTTGTTGGCTGGAGGAGCTGTATCTTGGAAGAGTGTTAATCAATCACTTAGCTTCATCTACTATAGAAGCATAATTTATAGCATACTATGAGGAATCAAATCAAGGAATATGGCTGCAAAATTGTATCACTGGGCTGAAGACTTTTTATGGAATTGAGAGCCCATTAAAAATTAATTGTGATAATGACGCTGCTGAATTATATTCAAATAACAATAGGAGTTTGTCAAGGTAAAAGCATATTGATATAATTTTTTTTTATTGCGAAAGAAAGGGTTTAGAGTTTCAAGTGCCCATTGAGCAAATCATTACAAACCTTATAGTTGCATATTCCCTTACTAAAAATTTAACACCTAAACTTTTCACGAGCATGTTGCTCATATGAGAGTGGTTTACTTTGATAATATGCCAGTATTGTGGGAGTTTAATTTATAATATTCAATTTTTATAAAGTTATTTTATTTTCTAATCAGACTAAAGTGTTATAATTGAAAATTTTAATACAAAGTTCTATAGTTCCTTGCATTTAGCATAAATGAATGAAGCCATATTTATAACTTGTTTGAGTTATAGCACAGGATCAGTTGAAAATAGGCATGATACATGATCATATTACATGAAATTTCTATGCTACAAATCCATACAAGATCTATGTCACTGATCATATTAAATTTAGTGATCACTAATTGGTCTTGTTGCAGAAAATAAAAAAGTAATAAATATCACTTTGGTTATATTTTAATATTGTTAATGGAAGAGATTTTTTAATGTTGTTCCTTTATAAAGCTAACATGAATTGAGCTCTTAAAGTATTTAATTATGTACTATGTTGCACCGATACACTTATTATGAAGGCGTGCTGTATCCGATACACCGATACACGGATACGCCTCCGATACTCTACCGATACGTGTCTGATACGCCAAAGCCGTATCCAATTAAAATACTATTTAATTTCAAAAGGACACGCGTATCCGATACGCGTGTCTGTTAAAAAACAAAAAGAAATCCGAAAAAAAGGCATGTTGTATTTACTTCCGCGGTTGCGAGCAAGATTCTCTCATTTCCGAGATGGATTTGAGTCTCTTGATGATATGAAAATATTAAAAATTATTAATCTTTCACTTGATGAGCCTGAATTAGAAGCTATGATATTTATTGAAGATGATATGGAAGTTCAAAGACAAACCAATGAAGAAGATAATTATATCATTCCTTCTATTGAATAGTTGAAACTGCATGTGCTAGATAATTTATGTTTATGCTTTTGTTGTTGTACTAGACATTTAATACTTATATTTTGATATTATAAGCTACAATGCTACAAATGATGTTGTTTCCATTTTTTTTTTTGTAATTTCAAATATTATGTTTTGATTGCTTTCTTAATTTTTATGTATGATTTATAAATTATAATGCCGTGTCGGCGCCGTACCTGTATCCTGTATTTTTAAGAATTGACGTGTCCCGTATCCGTATCGTATCCGTGTCGCCGTATCGGTATCGGTGCAACATAGATTATGTATAATTGTCTGGTGATATATGTGGTCCAAGTGGGAGATTGTTGAGAATTTCCATATGTGGGCTCACAAATTTATCTTAGTTATACATTTTATGTTATCTTAATATTAATCCTATTAATTTGTAACCAAATAAGGATTAAATATGTATTGGCTTTAGAGGAACATTATTATTATTATTTTGTAATTTGTATGGAGTTATTATGCGTAGGTCCGGGCATTTTATTTTATTATTAATGATGGGCTAAAAATAAAATAAAGTAAATTTAAAGTATAAATAGTGGTCATGGTCCCCAGTCTAAGATGTTGATTCTCATTTTACTCATATCTCATCCCGAGTGAAACGAAGCTCTCTTTCAATAGAACACCCCTCAAGATGTGGAATACTAAAGATCCCATAGTTCTTCCATAGAATCAGGTACGCTTCCGATAAAAATGTTTTCAATGATTTGACATGCAATCTAGAAACAAAATATAATTTTATCTCCTTTTGTTTTCAACACCAAGGTCCAATCCAAATCAGAATTTCAGACAATCTCAGGTACAAATGCAACAATCAAAATCATACTTTATCCACCTTCCACAATCAAAGCCGCGCTAAATAAGGAAACACATCAATAACAACGTAGAGAACATAAACATAACATCCCACTCCGAAGACTAAAAACAAAACAAAATCAAACGACTAAAAACACCATCATAAACTAAAACAATATAAACATCGAATGCCAAATCAAAATAAACCCACTAAAAGCTCCTCATCCTGCTGACCCCTCACCCACCGCACAATCCCCCATTCTACCCTCAAAATAAAGTAAGAAAAGAATAAGAAATTAAGAGCCTTAAATGAAACACAATCTCTAAAAGTACATAGGGCATCTCCAACCGAAAACCCCATTTTTCACTGCAAAATACAGCAAAACTCCAAAATGCGGTAATTCTGCTCCAATCAAACTCCATTTCCCAGGCTTCGTCGTCTCTAACCATCTTTTCCCATTTCGCGGGCAAATCCCGTTGACACATAAAAATTTAGCAGGTGAACAGTGCGATGTCAATATTGGTGTGACACTGTTCACCCGCAATGAAATAGAGGCAAAATTTCCGCTCGGTTGGAGCAATGAAAGCGTTCCATTGGAGATGCCCTTACTAACATCATAATAGCGTTAGACCTTGAGAAAATCCTAACCCAGCATGTTCGCAAACCCTAGAAGAAAGACATAAAATTAAGCGTATGGGAGAGAAATAACTGATACTTATAGAAGCAAAGGCGCCAGGATAATACAGCTTTGGAGCAAAAGACAAAGGAGAAGTAAGAAAATGAGGTGAAGAGACCGGCTCAAAAAACGAAGACAGTTCCTAGCTATCAGATAACAACCGGAAAACCTTTTTAGTTTCAAGAAAAACCTTCTGTCGGGAGGATGGCCGGCCGGCGGCGAGCTCAGGACAAGGTTGGTTCTCATGCGAGAGGGGGGACTTTCGGCAAGGACGGCAAGCCGGCGGCGGCGAGCTCACTTGAGGTGGGTTCTCACGCCAGAGGGGACCGTCGGGAGCGTGTCTATGGGGAATAAAAATGGAGTAACAAAAGTTGCAATATCTACGGTAGCAGAAAATTTTAGAAGAATTGAAAGTGCCACGTGGATATATCCGTTAAGTTTGGATATACATAAATATGTATTAAGTTCTTTTTGCCAAATATAGTGTTAGGCTCTCTATCAATTTTCTCGAACTTTTCTCTCCGCCTCAAGCTTTGAAACAAATAATGTCCTATTTTCCTTCCTAAGATTGTCTTTCGTTCTCTCTCTCTCTCTTTTTCTTTGATTTCGTCTCCAACTAAGTTGTTGCGCCCAAAATCTTCTTTTTATTTTTGCAGCAATCAGGCGAAATATGTTAAACTGAGAAAAATCTCTTCAACTTCCAAAAAGCTTCTCCAATGTTCCGTTAGGAAGAACAAAGGATTTGTTCACTCTCTCTCTCTCTCTCTCTCTCTCTCTCTCGGGTTTTCACATGATCTTCTTCTCCATTCTCCAAAAAGTTCATGTCTTTCGTCTCTCCTGTCTCATTGGAGAAGTAGGTTTCTCCTCTCACAGCCAGAAACCGACCACGCTACCATCTTTTTTATATTTTCCCTAACTTTTCGTGGTGGGCAATCCTACGCAAAACCAAATTATTTTCAGAAAAAAAATGGATTCCGGTTAGAGGAGTGAGCTAGCCTCCATCTGAATTTACGGGCCAAATTCATAGCTCTTGGTTATGTAATGATTCGATTCATGAAGAGAAAGCATAGCTTGGAGAAACCGTCGCAAGATAAGAGCATGTTCGACATGACGGGAAGGCAAGCTCCAAGCTTGACTGTTGAGCATGGAAGAACCAATGAGGAAGATAAGATGTTTAGGAGTCAGAAAGCAATTGAAAGCCAACAGATTCGATCTGTTTTTGACCGAACAGAGAACAGAACGCCCAAATTTAGGCCTGGCGAGGGTTCTTGCCCTAGCTGCGGCACAGCCCTGCGTGGGCAGTCTTCAGGTACTTCATTTATGTAGAATTTAGGGTTTGGGAATTATTTTTTTGGAATTTTAGTCCTCATTTAACATTGTTTTGTATATGTTAAGCTCCATCTTGATTTTGCATGGAAATGTTCTAATTATAGATCCATTTCTTTTGAGAAGGGTTGTTTGTAGTATTAGGTATAAATTTCTGTATTGTAAGTACTCATTTGATTGCTTCGATTAAGAAAATATGCTTGCGAAAAATGTGGAATTTATTAAATTCAATCGTTTGATTGATTGCAATTAGAAATAAATATTTGTTTAAAAATTCTGCAAACAAATAAAAAAATCATTTTATTTTGACGATTTCATTCAAATGAGTGAAATGAAATTATAATCTGCTTATATATTTATATATATATACCAAATTCTTTTTGCAAAATTTATTCTTATTATGCTTTAGTGAGTTGAAAATTAGAATTTTATATGAAAATCAGTGCAAGTATGATATTTTATGAGTTGACTGCACTGACCCTTCACAATGCAAAGGAGAGTTTCTCTAGCCATTTTCTTGGACTTTTCTCTCTACCTCATGCCTTCAAACAGAAAATGCCCTCTTTTCCTGCCTAAAACGGCTTTCTCCCTGCTCTCTATTTCTCTAATTTCGGCTTCATTTGGACTGCTTTCTTACTGCTTAGCTTATTACTTCTCAAAGCAACTTTTTAATATAAAAATTTTAGAAAAAACCATTTAACTTTCTAGAAAGCTGTTTTAAAAAGTTGCTTTAATAAGCAATAAGAAAGTCATCTCAAACAAAACCTTCATCTCCAATTGAACTGTTGTACCCAAAATTCTCATTTTTTTTTTGTTTTGCAGCAATCAGACGATATATTTAAATTGAGAAAAACCTCTTTAACTTTCAAAAAGCTTATCCATTGTTCCATTAGGAAGAACAAAGGGTTTTCTCTCTCTGTCTGGATAGATTATTACGTGTGGAGTTTGGACTCAAAAAATTGTTCGGATTTGTGACTGTGAACAGTAAAAGCATAGTTATTGTTCACAGTCACAAAACCGAACGATTCTCTAGGTCAGAACTCAGCATGTAATAATCTCTCCTCTCTCTAGAGTTTTCATATGCTTTGTTTCTCCATTCTCCAAAAAGTTTCCACCTTTCCTTCCACCCGTCTCATCTGAGAAGTAGGTTTCTCCTCCCAAAACCATAAAACCCACCAAGCTCCCATCTTTTTTATCTTTTCCCAAATTTTTCAAGGTGAGTAATCCTACACAAGACCTAATTATTTCAGAAAAATTGGATCCCGGTGAGAGGAATGAGCAAGCCTCCATCAACATTTCATGGGTCAAATTCATAGCCATAGTTTGTGTAATCATTCGATTCATGAAGAGAAGGCATAGCTTGGAGAAACCTTCGCAGGATAAGATTATGTTCGATATGATGGGATGGCAAGTCCCATGCTTTACAGCTGAACATGGAAGAACCAAAGAGGACGATATGGTGTTTAGGAGAGTCAGTGAACAATTAAAAGCCAGCAGATTCATTCTGTATTTGATCAAACAAAGAACAGAACACCTAAATTTGGGATTGGCGAGGTTCTTGCCATAGTTGCGGCGCAGGCATGTGTGGGCACTGGGCAGTCTTCAGGTAATTCATTTATGTAGTATTTAGGGTTAGGGAATTACTTTTTTGAATTTTTGTGCCCATTTAGTATTGTTTTGTATATGCTAAGTTCCATCTTGATTTGCATAGAAATGCTGTGATTATAGATCCATTTCTTTTGAAAAGGGATTGCTTTTAGTATTCGATATAAAATTGTATATTATAAGTACTCATTTGATTGCTTGGATTTAGAAAATATGCTTGAGAAAAATGTTGAATTTATTAATTCACTCATTTGATTGAATGCAATTAGAAATAAATATTTATTTCAAAATTCTGTAAACACATCAAAAATCCATTCAATCATGATGATTTCATTTGAATGAGTGAAATTAAATTATAATTTTCTTAAATATATTTTTTTATATGCAACTAACCAAATGAGCCCTAAGCGTTTTTATGCTATTAAGTGTTAATATTTTGTATTAGTAGAGTATGAATTTTAGATCTTAATTTTGATCAAAAATCTAGAATGCGTAGAAAAAAGTTGTGAGAAATCAAAATTATTTTACATTAAAACCTCAATAATGGCAAAAATTATGGGTGTGACCTAGTTGCAATAATCTATTATATATTGGAATATACAAAAATGCCCCATTCCTTCCAATTAAAGAAGAAAAGATTATGCAAAATTGAGTATAATTATATAATTTTCATTATAGGGATTACAAAAATTATGTGTCCATAATAATATAGTTAAAACCTAATGATAATACTATATGTTAATATTTTAATGACAATAGTCGGGTGATGGAAATTTAATGATGATGGTGATAATTGCTAAAGGTGGTCATTGACGATAATCACTGGAAAAGTCAATAGAGCTCTTTAGCTTTCTCACCTTTTTGAATCTCCTCTTCATGTAGTGAATTAGGTTCTATAACCATGGAAGATTAACTAGTAGAATAATGAATCAAGTTATCAATTATGGTGACATCCTTTTCATAATAGTGCCAAAAGTTTGATCGAACCCAAAATAAATTAGTGGATGCATGAGTGAAACTAGTCAAAATATAATGAGTTTGAAGACTCTTAAAGCGAAGATAATGGCTCTTGAGAATGAAAACAAGAAATTATAAGCTCAATTATCAAAAAGGAAAAAAAGATTTATCAAAGGTAAAATTTGGAGTTGGATTATTATCCTCAAAGGCCATAGAAGATTTTAAAAAACTGTCTTACAAGAGTATGATTCAATGTCATATTTAGAAGATTACTAGATGTTCACATTTATGATGTAAAAGTGAAGGACCAAGAAAAAATTTTCTTTCTTCTCTCTCTTCTGCTACCATTTGAAATGAGGGAATAATTTTGAAAATGGATTTGAATATTTATATATAAAACACATTACAATGCTCAACGTAGAAGCCCTACAACATGTAGTGTCGCTATGCTAGGCTAGAATATTCTAGATCTGCCATACAAAGAGATTTGTGCTACAATGCTTCCTGTCTAGCATCGCAGTGCTCTTTTTATATACACATATTTCATAGTATACATAAACAAGTGATATTATGCTTAATATTCAGCTCACTGTATCACATTAATGCACGTAAATTTTGCATATAAACCAAAATTAGTGAAATTTATAAGAAAATGCATTGTGCTCTTTTTCACATGTATGTATCCATAATAGCTGGATTATAACAAGCATGAATGTCATGTACTCATATGAAAATATTTTAACAATAATTTCTCAAATTTATAGATTAATCTAAATTATACAAATTAAGATATTTCTCTCAAAATATAAAGATACTGGGTGAATATTCAATATTATCATACCAATATATACAAAATGATTAAAACTATACATACTAAAAGTTGTATGTAAGAACTCTGCTAAATATAGAGATATCTCAACTTTTGTAATTTTTGATCAAATTAAAATTCATGCAATAACAACAACATCAAACATTTATCCCACTATGTGGGTTTAGGAGTGTAAACGAGTCGAGTCGAGCTCGACTCAGGGGGTGTTCGAGCTCGACTTGTGAGTCAAATACCGAGCTAGAACTCGAGTCAAGCTCAAAAGCGACAAAGAAACGAGCTCTTCGAGCAGCTCGATTTCGATTTTCCTGCCCATCATTTCGGTTTTCTCGCCCAGTTTTTCGGCCAGCAAGAATTTGTATGCATGTCTATTGCCACGTGATTGAAGCTAAGTGGCCAACTGTTGGAGTCTAGCGTTGCATTTTCCCTTGGATAAACAAGATCTTCCTAGTTGTTTCTCTTGTATAAAGCATTAGCATTTAATACGTTGACATTTGACACTTGACAGCAAGAATGAGCCGAAAATTTAATAAAATTTGACATTAACATTTAATGATTTTTCCCATATATATATATATATATATTAATTATTTAAATTTTAAAAAATTCAAAAATTATTCGAGCCGAGCCTCATCAGAGCTCGACTACAAACCTGTTGAATTGTAGTTTGGGTGATCATGAATTTAATTATGAAAGCTTTTTCAGTTCAAAAGTTTCTAAATATATTTTGTGTGCTTGATTTGAGCTCATTTAGAGTCAAATAAGATCATTTGTAGTGTTGATGGGTTCGTCTCATAGATACGTTCAAATCAACTACAAACTTGTTGAATTATAGTTTGGGTGGTCATGAATTTAATTATGAAAGTTTTCAATTTAAATATTACCTCGAAATTCATGTTGATCATGTGGATTTTCTAGAGGCGGTTCATGTGGATTTACTTTTTAGGTAAGTAACAATTAGTTTTTAATAGCTTCATTTTGATTTGATGATTGTTAATGTCGGAAATTCATTCAGATGTCGAGCAAATGAAGGAGAGGTTCGCGAAACTGCTTCTTGGTGAAGACATGTCAGGAGGTGGGAAAGGAGTTTCATCAGCTCTAGCTTTGTCCAACGCCATCACCAACCATGCTGGTATCATTTTCTTTCTTGAATTTGAAGAAAATCTGCTTTTTATTTCCTTATTTTTTTACTAACAAAAATACAACTGTTTGCACAAGTTATTGGAAAAAAAAGTATCAAATTTCTCATGCTGATTTCTTATCAATACCTCGAGATTCTTCTGATTATAGAATGATTTGAAATTTGTATTTTGATTGTTCATTGAACCTATGTGTATTTGTTTCAGCTTCTGTGTTTGGTGAACAAGCACAATTGGAACCCATGTCTGCTGATAGGAAAGCGAGATGGAGGAGAGAAATTGATTGGCTTTTGTCTGTCACAGATCACATTGTAGAATTAGTCCCTTCTCAACAAGTTGGAAATGATGGAACCAAAATGGAGGTTTTACTTGATTCTTTTTTCATTTTCTTTTAGTCATAATCATGTTAAACATATGTTTAAGTATCAAATTCTTCTCTTTTTCTATCACATTGTTGTAAAGATTATGACAACACAACAACGAAGAGATCTCTTAATAAACATTCCAGCATTACGCAAACTCGATGCAATGCTTATTGTAAGTTTTTTTTTTTTTTACTTGTTGTGATCATTGTAAACCTCTTAAATGCGCAAATCTCGATCATATCTCAATGTTCGACAAATCTATCAGAGCTATCTTGATGATTTCAAGGATCAGAATGAGTTCTGGTATGTCCAAATAGACGAAGAAAACTCGGAAATAGGGAACACAGACAGAAAAGATGATAAGTGGTGGCTCCCCACAGTAAAGGTTCCTCCAAATGGTCTCTCTGATATATCCAGAAAATGGCTGCAATTCCAGAAAGAATCTGTAAACCAAGTTCTAAAGGCAGCCATGGCCATTAATGCCCAAGTACTAATGGAAATGGATATCCCTGAAGCTTACATTGATTCGCTCCCAAAGGTGCCTACTCTTATCTTATAACTAGACTCTTTTTTTTAATTTTTCTATTGCCATTGAGATAATTTCTTCACCTTTTTTTATCATAATAGAATGGAAAGGCAAGCCTGGGAGATTATCTATATCGCAGCATAACAGCTGAATACTTTGATCCCGAGCAATTTCTTGCATCAGTCGATTTGTCGACCGAGCACAAAGTCCTCGACCTCAAGAACCGCATCGAAGCCTCAGTTGTGATTTGGAAGAGGAAGATGCATAACAAGGATGGCAAGACTTGGAGCTCAGTTGTTAGCTTGGAGAAGAGGGAGCAATTTGAAGAAAGAGCAGAGACCATCCTACACCTCCTCAAGCATCGATTTCCAGGCACCCCTCAGTCAGCTCTAGACGCTTGCAAGATTCAATTCAACAAGGCAAGAAAGCTCCTTTTCATGTTGAAACTAAAAGCAAAACAGTTAAAATTGTTTCTTTCCTAATAATACTGTTCCATTGCTAAATTTCTTTCTTAAGGATGTTGGCCAATCTGTTCTTGAGAGCTACTCGAGAGTCCTGGAGAGCTTGGCTTATACGGTGATGTCGAGGATTGAAGATGTACTATATGCAGATCAGGTTGTGCAGGATCCAATCAAGAAAATATACAGCAGGAGCTCATCAGAGCTTAAAGAGGAGATGGAGAACCAGGACTCTTCGGAGGGACGAGTCTCATTGACATTATCAGATTTTATGGGTTGGCCTTTTGAACAGGATAAGGGGAATGAGAAGTTGCCAGGTAACTTTGATAGTCTCTTGTGCTCTGAAGAATCAGAGCTGAAGAAACTTCCTAGGATTGTAACTCCAAAGAAAGTTTCTTATATAGAGAAGGTGGAGAACTTGGGAGGCTTGAGAAGCCCGACTTCGCGCCATTAATGAGAACCACAGAACTGAAAGGAGGAAGACTGGTACAAACTTGAAGCGAGTGGGAGTGAGCAAGGAAGTGTTAGTAAAAAGAAGCTTTTATTCAAATGTATATATTTGGAATAAATAAGAATTCCTCTTCTCTTTTCTTTTATCTCTTAGGCTTCATTTGAAATAGTTTTCTTATTGCTTTCTATGATAGCTTTCTAGCATAATTTTTTTTTGAAAACATCAAAAAAGCAGTGGCCAAAAACTGTTCCAAACTCGGAGCAACTTTCTTACTATTTTGTGAAGCTGTTGTAGAGAAAACAGCTTCCTAATATAATCTTTTTTTTCAAAATCATCAAAAACCCAGTGGCCAAATAAAAAAGTATAATTATGATCTGAGAAGCAAAATAATAAGTAACCTGTCTCAAACGAAGTCTTAATCTTAAGCTTCTTCTAGTTAGGAAAGTAGAAGATACTGGTTTTATTGTACTTGTAAGTGTTTCATTTCCTTGTATAGTTTTGTATAATCCTCTTGTAGGATGAGGCATATGACCATGCATTGATACTTATTTCAAAGTTATGAATAAGCATGTTTGTGAGCTTTTTTTATGAGCTTGAAGGCTTAAAAATTGATTGATTATTGTAGTCGTTCGAGCTCAACTCATTTATGGGCTCGTGAGCTGAGCTTATTGAGCTCAAGTTTGAACTTAATGAGGCTTAGCTTGCTCGCTCGAATAATTATTAATATTTTGAAAATAAATTTATTTTATTTATTAAATTTAAATATTTAATAATAATAATAATGTTTAAAATATTTAATAATATAAAAATAAATTAATATTTGATGTTTAAAATTAATAATAAATGTTTAAAATATTTAATAAAGTTTTAAATATTTAAAATAATTAATAATATTTAGAAAATCCTGCCGAGGCTTGCGAGCTGGCTCAAATGAGCGGGACTCGAGCTCGCCTTTTGAGCTCGACTCGAGCTTGAGCTAACTTTTTAGCTGATGAGTGACTTCCCGAACCCGAATAGTGCCGGGTCAGTTTCAAATTCAACCCGAACCCGACCCGTGACCCGAAATTGACACCCCTAAGTGCAATGGAGTCTAAGCGACCTACCAACCTGCGCAACCTTGGCTTGATAAAGGGCTTGTAAGTTGAGAAACAATAAAAAAGTAATTCAAATTTGAGCAAATCTTGATTTGACTTGTTTAGGAATGCTAATATAAAATATATTTAAAATACATTATAATTTAAGAGTTTAAGTATAAAATAATTAAAAATATTAAAAATTGTATATCTTATTTATATTAAATTATTTATTATTATTTCTCATTTAATTTCTCTTTTTTATGAGTCATTTAGTATAACAATTATTTGAATCAATGTTATTTTTGCTTATTTCATAATAAATTTTAGTTGAGTTCAAGCTTTAGTTCAATATTAACTAATTAATCAAAAACAAGCTCAAGGCGGGTGTCTTGAGCTCGACTTGACTCGTAGAATTATGCCAAAGCTTTACCTTTAAGTTGGACAGGTTTGCGGATTTTACCTATATTTGATGCATTTACATGCACGTAACTCAAATCTTGGCTATTTATAAAATTAACAAATATTATTCTATTTTTATTTTTAAATTCTCACATAAATATCAAAATTCCATAATAAAATTCTAACTTATATTTTTCACTTTTGCCATATTCCCAATAGTTTGATAGTGGCATATGTAAATACATAGAGTTAGTGATTAAAAAAAATGACAAAAGTTCTTGTTTTATGAATAATTATAATTGGAATACTATGCATATAATTCCTCCAAAAATCATTTAAGATATACTTAGGGTAGCATTCTATTAACTTTGCAATCATTTATTTGGCAAATTAACTTTTTTCTTGTGTTTTGTTCTATATAATAGCCTTTTATGTTGGATCCATCATTCCACATTTTAATGGTATATCTATTTTTCCTTGCTTTTTAATAATAATTTCAAAATATCTACCGAGGCTTAGGGTGACTGGTGGGCGAGCACGGTTGGGAATCATCCATCCTGGGTTCTAATCCCCTCTATTATGACCTCGCCTCTTAAGTGGGGCAAAGCAAGTGTGAGCCCGATGCCGGTGGGTGGCCTCGCTAGGTTCCGCCTAGAGATTAGTTATGCCACCAAGCACTCCTTTTGAAGTGGCAGTAGGTAGATATACTCACGTTCCCAAAATAATAATAATAATAATTTCAAAATGGGTTTTATAAAAAAAATAATGGACTCTCAAATACATGTTTGAAATGTAAATTATAAAAATATTCCTAAGAAAAGAAATTTTTTTCATATAAATCACAAAATTTTTATGTAGTTACATTATAATAATTAGAGCAAAATTTGTCTTTATATCCCTCATGGATGTTCAAAATTGAAGAGATATATATATATTTCTACTCTAAGTATACCTATATAGTTTTATTCCTGATGTGTTATAGTTATTATGATTATAGCCAACATTAATTATAAAATATTATAATTGTTTTCATTTAATATAATGATTTTTATTATAATTTTATCCTCTATTTTATTTGCTTCATAATATGTTGTGTAAGTGATGTTATAATGTATTTAGCTATATTATATTCAATTATTTAACAACTTTTAATCATGTTCGAACATCATTTGAATCTTATTCTAAATTCAGATTTTTCAAAAAATAATTGTAAAAATTCAAGTGCTATACATATATAAATGCGTAATAAATTTATGGTATATATATAAATCCCAAATTAATTATTGTTTGAAGTTATTATGTAATTTTTTTAGAGTATAGATTGTGGAATTATTAAATTTTACAAATAATAAAATAAAATTATGTGTTAAAATGTAAGATGATGAATTTAACATTAAAAAATTATTCTAAATTCACTCAAAAGTAAAATAATAATAATAATAACAATAATGGCGGGTTCAACGACCCTCCCCAAAATTTGTGGATCTGTGAATTAATCGATTTACCATTCCAATGTCCGACGGCATTCAGTCCGTCAGATCTCGTTCCAGCACAATACACACGCTTCGCTGCGCTTTTTTATCCACTTGTCGAATAAATAACACCGTCGGATTATTTCAAACATCGGAATTCTTAAAAGAAATCATTTATGGAGTCCACTTTGCTCGTCTTTTTTTCTCTGCTTTCTTTCTCTCTTCTTCCGCCTCCTCTGTTTGGTCTCTTTAGCCACCATTCCTTATTCAGTTTCAATGGCTTCTCTTTCGAAGCTGCTTCTTGAGCCGGGGCCGATTTGTATAAAAGCCTCCGATAAAGCAGCTTTGCGTCGCACATGCCGCTTGGCGCTTCGCAGTGTTTCGGCCGGCAGCTTCCGGATTGAGGCCAAGGCGACTTGGAGCTCAGATGGAGGCGGTGGGTTTTGATGGCTTCCTCTGTTTTTCAATGAATTTTGCTCTTGAAATTTGAAATTGGGCATAGCAGGGCTGAACTATGCGATTTTGATGGGGGTTTTGAGACTGATTTTTTTGACAAATTCAATATCAAAATGGGTATACAGAGTTTTGCGGTTTTTTTCGCTTTTTATTTGTTGGGAAAGTAGAAAAATATTGTATTTTGATAGTTTTAGTCGGAATTAAGTTAGTGAATTCGTTTGAAATATTTTGTTAGTTTGATTTTATGTATTGCAAATTTTCAATATCGCTTACATTGTGTATTTATATCTCGCAGGTCATGTGAATATTAGCGTCAAGGATTTTGATGTTCCTATTCTCTCGGGTACTCAGGTAAGTAATTCTTGTATAATTGTCAATATGATAAAGTTCTTGCAATGTGGTCATTGATTAATTGGATTATAATTGAAGTTGCAGCTTTGTGCACATGAGTCTATAATGGAGAAGTATGAGGAATCTAATAAAGTTAATAGTGAGAGTCCTTTCTTTTATGTAGATTCCAAGTTTTAAGTCATTATTTTACATGATTGGTGGGTGATTATTAACTTTTTCAAGAATGGTAGTTATCTTACATGAAACTCTGAATTGAAGCAAGAGCTTCTTTTAAGAGGTGAACCTGGTCTTTACTAATGAGCAAAGAGAAGTCATAAGCTCAATGCTTGGCATCCTCACGATATGGGTAGATCTAGAATCTTTATTTTTAAGGGGGGGTCCGAAAATCCACTTTTCCACTTTTTCCTTCGTTTTTCTCTCTCCTCAGCTTTTTCTCTCTCTTCAAAATATCTCATTTCTATATATATCCAGACTGATCGTCCTGGACGATCGAGCTTCGTCCTGGACGATCTCAGCTTTAAATGAACTTCGTCAAGACGAGATTAATTATCGTCTAAGGACGACTTGGGCTCTGGAAAATTTTCGTCCAGACGATCCAACATTTCGTCCAGACGAACCATACAGATAGAACAGTTTTCCTTGAACAACCTGTACCGATCGTCCCGAACGATCCAACTTCGTCCTGGACGAACCTGGAGCAAAACTGGTATTACAAGCTATTACTTGTGTCCATACACAAGGTGGTTTGACTCAAGTATTTTCCTATTTCAGTTGGATTACATCAAGGATCAACCTTAAGCCCATATCTTTTTGCTTAATTCATGGATATTCTCACTAGACATTTGCAAGAAGTTGTACCCTGGTGTATGTTTTTTGCCGATGATATTCTTTTCGTTGATAAGACTAGAGATGTATGAACTGTTACTTGTGTTCAGACACAAGGTGGTTTGACCAAGTATTTTCCTATTTTAGTTGGATTACAACAAGGATCAGCCTTAAGCCCATATCTTTTTGCTTAATTCATGGATATTCTCACTAGACATTTGCAAGAAGTTGATATGTATGCAGGAGCTATTACTTGTGTCCATACACAAGGTGGTTTGACTCAAGTATTTTCCTATTTCAGTTGGATTACATCAAGGATCAACCTTAAGCCCATATCATTTTGCTTAATTCATGGATATTCTCACTAGACATTTGCAAGAAGTTGTACCCTGGTGTATGTTTTTTGCCGATTATATTCTTTTCGTTAATAAGACTAGAGATGTATGAACTGTTACTTGTGTTCAGACACAAGGTGGTTTGACCAAGTATTTTTCTATTTCAGTTGGATTACAACAAGGATCAGCCTTAAGCCCATATCTTTTTCCTTTAGTCATGGATGTTCTCACTAGACATTTGCATGAGATTGTAGCCTAGTGTATGTTTTTTGCTAATGATATTCTTCTTGTTGATAAGACTAGAGAGAGAGTTAAAGGTAAACTTAAATTATGAAGGTCAACCTTAGAGTCTAAAGGCTTCGTTTGAGTATATCTAAAACTGAATATATGGAATGTAATTTTAGTGATAATAGTTCTAGTGGGGGTATTGTGACTTTGGGTGATCGAGTCATTAACAAGAGTACACGTTTTAAATATCTTGGATTTATTGTTCAGAGTGATAGTGAATGAGCATATACGTGAAAAGGTTGGAGTAGCTCCAGTGGAAGATAAAATTAGGGAGAGTCGCCTTAGATGGTTTGGTCACATAAAATGGTAGTCTTCCAATGACTCAATTAGGAAAGTAGATGTATTAGATTTGACTTATGTTAAGAAGGGTAAAGGTAGATAATGTAGAACGAAAAAATTGCTTTGCTAGGGAGAGGATTTCTTCTCCGAAATCGCGAGCCTTGGACTCTTCCAAAGACTGACGAGTGATTCTTTGCCCTTCTCCAAGGGACTTCAATTCACGAGCCCGGATCCATCCTGCGGCTGGTGAAAACTCCGATTCCTTCCCATAGGAATCTCACTAACGCTCTCTCACAAGAACACAAGTGTGGACACAAATTTTTAATATCAATTCTTCATTCCCATTATAATAGCTAAAGGCCTTATATATAAACCACAACATGAGAAAAATCAAAAATTATAAAATTGCCCCTTGGGCCACAACATTCAAATAAACAAACCTAGGGGTTAAATAGGAAATACATCAAATAAGAATTAAAATATAGAAAATAACTCATAATTTAAATACTGGTAGTCGATTTACGACACCGCCTATGATAGATGCGTCAAATCTTCGTACTGATGTCAGCATCATTCTCCCCCGGTGGGAGAATACTCGACTTCATCGAGTTAGCATCACAACTGTTCATGTACAACTCTGGATTGTTATTTAGAAACACTAAACCCAATGGCCTTGTTGCAACGATTTTCAAACAACCCCGGTTGCCCACAAGGTCAACTTGCTCGTTGCACTTTAGCTCACCAATTATAAATGTCACTTCCAGAGCTTCATCAACATTCTCTTTTATAGGAGTTTTAACTAGGTCAGGAGAAATCTTGGCTTCTGTAGGAGTTGTAATTGAGTCAAACAAGTTTCCCTCTGCATTATTTGTAGTCACGCATTTCTCCTTGTTAACCGTTTCATCTTCTTCTTCATGTCCTTCCTTGATCACCTTAGGTTCCTCTTTGATTTGCACAGTGATTGAGAAATTGAAAGCTTCATTGGCCTCCATCCATTTGTCCACTCCATCCACTATTTCTCTGTTTCTTAGTGCCCTTTTTCTATCCTTTGATGAAGGGGATCTTGAAGGCGTGTAAAGCGGTGAGTCAGTCCTACCTCGCACTAGGTTATCGAGTCGTTCGATTGTTTGACGGTGGAAGTTGGCTAAGTCCGCTTGATTCTCCTTGAGATGTTGACTAATGGCGCCCAGTTGACCTGCCACCCAATCTAGAGTCCTTCCAAGTCTATCCGAGTCCATGCTCTGATATCAAACTGATGTAGAATGGAAAAAAGGCTTTGCTAGGGAGAGGATTTCTTCTCCGAAATCGCGAACCTTGGACTCTTCCAAAGACTAACGAGTGATTCTTTGCCCTTCTCCAAGGGACTTCAATTCACGAGCTCGGACCCATCCTGCGGCTGGTGAAAACTCTGATTCCTTCCCATATGAATCTCACTAACGCTCTCTCACAAGAACACAAGTGTGGACACAAATTTTTAATATCAATTCTTCATTCCCATTACAATAGCTAAAGGTCCTATATATAAGTCACAACATGAGAAAAATCAAAAATTACAAAATTGCCCCTTGGGCCACAACACTCAAATAAACAAACCTAGGGGTAAAATAGGAAATACATCAAATAAGAATTAAAATGCAGAAAATAACTCATAATTTAAATAATGGCCGTCGATTTACGACGCCGCCTGTAATAGATGCGCCAAATTTTCGTACCGATGTCCGCATCAGTAGACCTAAAAAGACTTGGTTAAAAAATATAATTTAAATGAGAATTTAATTTTTAACAGGGCACAATGGAGAAAAAAGATTAATGTAGTCAACCCCACATAGTGGAAAAAGGCTTGATGGTGTTGTTGTTGTTGTTGTCGTAGTCGTATACTTTTTGGAAAATTATATAGGATGACCTTTGATTAGACTCATGCCTTCAGAACTATGTCGTCTTTTTTCTGCTCTCAGTTACCAAATTTGATATTGGTAGTTATTTTTTGCATTTACAAGATACCAAAACAAGAAGTACAAAAGAAAAATCATCCTTATATTAGATTGGTCCTACTCTATCTACATCTTTTGATCAAGTAAAATATGAACCCACTTGAATTGCATTATGATCATGTGAGCTATACCGAATTTTTTTTTATTTTTCTTAGTTGACAGCAAACCGGTTTCTCAATTTTACGTGTGAGGCCTGAAAAGCTGTTAAGAAAATTAATTATAAATAATTATTCTTTCATGCTGTGAATTGGCCATATGTCTTCAGAGTTTTGTTAATTATATTGTTTATTTATTTTAATAACATTTATTTAGTTAATGTGAAGGTTGTGGAAATGTTAAGAGTATTTGAGCAAAAAAGATCTAGAAAGCCAAGTAATGTGGCCATGTACTCAAGCATCTTTGGTGGTATTACGACAGACCTTGCTGCCATGGTGGTTCCCTTGGATGATCACATGGTCCATAGAGGGCACGGTGTTTTTGACACTGCTGCTATAATGGATGGGTAAGAGAATTGAGGTACTTGATAGCATTTCTTAACCAGATTAATGTCAGCGTCTATTACAACTTCTTTGCAAATAGTTGACTGAAATTATGTAAAAAAGGAATGCTATGGTACATGTAAAAAATGTATCAATTTTCTCAGATTGAATCGTGCTGCATGTTACCATTGGATTAGTATTAATATCTCCATTTTTTTATTGTGCATTTGAAATGGTAGGTTATTTAATCAATTTAAATTTATTTTTTAGCAAGGAATTCAAATGATGCATTTGATAGGGAGTATGAACCACAAGAGACAAAGTTGGGTCAATTCGATTTTCAACCCAAAAACCTAGGGCTGTAGGAGAAGGCCAACCACTTAATAGTTTAACTTCAACACTCTTTCAATTATCAGAAACTCGGTACTCTCAAACAGATTGAAAGCTTTCTATATCAGCAATTACCCCCTCTCAAACTAAGGTTTGTTAATATCATCAAATATTAGCACCAAGAGTCCACGTGATCATGTTAATTTACAACCCGGTGGGAGTCTCCTGCTCTTAAACCTTACTCAGCCATGATAGAAAGGTACAAAGACCCATGGGAGTTATAAATTGCAATCCAAGCTTAACCATTAGCTCTAATAATGTTTGTTAAGGAATTTAGACCAAAGGGGGCCAAAGTTGGGACCGATAAACAAACGATCAAATTAATTTTCAACTCAGAAGTTTAAGCTTAAGAGTAAAGGGTAACCAATTAGTATTTTAGCACCTACACTTTTTTCAGCTATTCAATGTTGGACTAAATCACTTAGGCTTTGTTTGGGACGGCTTTCGTCTTGTTTTCTAAAACGGCTTTGTAGTACAAAAATTTCTTGAATTTAAAATTTTTGTACTAGAAAGTAGTTTTAAAAAGCGGTACAAAAGCTGTCCCAAATGAAGCCTTAGTTTTATTTTGCCTTAACAATAGTTTTGAATGATTTATTGCATTATCTAATAGTTTGAACCTAAAAATTTTGGACAGAAGTTTTATTACACAATGTGTATTAGGTTTAGTTACCAGTAATATATTTCAAGTGTACAATGGTCCATGAGTAAAAATTTGAAAAGACCATTTTAAGCGTATCAGAGGATGAAGCACAAAAAACCCTTTTTGTTCAACTTCATCATTAAAAATGGCATTGGTAGTACGTTAGATTTCTTTAAACAACGTGAAAAAGTTTTTCATGCTCTAATAGCGCATTCATACTTAAAGAAATTGCAATTGGTGAGTAATTAACAGGCTACTTATTTGCTATTTTATTGTTCTTTTGGCCCCCTCCCTCCCTCTCATTGCCCAAAAAATTAATAGATGATAAGAGTTGACAGCAATTGCATTAGTATTCATCTGATCTAATTGATAACATTTGCAGCATTTACATAACTTTCACAGCTTATTACTTGGATATTTCTTAAACCATATCCAAGAAAGCAAGATGATAGTTGACTAAAGTTTTGTTTGGGACGGTTTTTTTATTGCATTTTAAGATGGAGTTTTAATTAAAAAAAAAAAATTTGTACTAAAATTCCGTTTCAAGAAGCAATAAAAAAGTCTTCCCAAAGGAAGCCTAAGGGTCAAGCCACCTACAAATACTCGAGTGCATTGATATAGTTCCAACCTTCATATTCATTAAATATTACATCGAATATCACTTACTCTGTCATTTCATCTTATGGGGTTTTGGAGAATAGAGATGCATCATTATGTCCTTTTTCTCCATTCTCTTATATTTTAAATAATTAAACATACTTACACATCTTTGTTTATTTCAGATATCTCTATGAATTAGATCAACATATCGATCGTTTCTTACGGTCGTCTTCAATGGCCAAAATAAATCTTCCATTTGATCGATCACAACTAAGAAACATCCTCATACAAACCGTAAGCGCCTCGAAATGTACGGAGGGAGCTTTAAGGTACTGGCTCTCTGCAGGTCCTGGTGATTTCTACTTATCTCCATCCGGCTGTTTACAATCTGCTCTATATGCAGTGGCATATGAAACACATCTACCAGAGTTTAAGGGTTCCAAAGTAGTAACATCATCAATCCCTATAAAATCACAACAATTTGCCATTATGAAGAGTGTAAATTACTTACCGAATGTTCTTTCTAAAATGGAAGCCGAAGAAAATGGTGCCTTTGCAGGCATTTGGCTCGACGATGAAGGATATGTAGCTGAAGGTCCTAACATGAATGTTGCTTTTTTGACAGAAGAAAGAGAGTTGTTAATGCCTGAATTTTATAAAATTCTTAGTGGATGCACTGCAAGAAGAGTGTTAGTCCTTGCAGAAAAGCTTGTGAAAGAGGGAAAGATAAAAGGAGTTAGAGTAGGGAAAGTTACCGTCAAGGAAGGCAAGATGGCGAATGAAATGATGCTTATTGGAAGTGGTATTCTTGTGAAGCCAGTTGTTCAATGGGATGAACGGATCATTGGTGATGGTATGTCACTATTTCATACAACTCTTATATTTATGCTAGCTTGTAGATATGAAACATGTTATTTTGCTCTCATATTTCTCGTTTCTTGTTTCCTAACTTAAGCTTCATTTGGGACAGTTTTTTTCTGCTTCTTAAAGCTGCTTTTTAGTACAAAATTAAAAAAAATTTGTACTAAAAAATTGCTTTAAGAAGCAGAAAGAAAGTCATCCCAAACGAAGCCTTAATGAGAACAAATGGGCCCATAGTTCAAAAGAATTTACATTAAGGATATCCATGATTGGTTTGAAAGAATTAGAGAAAATGGAAATGCATTTTACTTCATAATTTAATATTTGATGTTTGGTTGCAATGTAATTAATAGGTATTTACATTAAGTTTTGACAGTACTCATCTCAGTCAGAACTTTCTATATGAACAAGGTGATAGATTTTGCATGAAATATTAGAAGACAAATAATAATTTTATTAGATTTCATATAATTTTACACTTGATAAGATCTAATGCCAATGCAACATTTTTCATTTATTTTGGCAAATAAGGCTTTGTTTGGAACGCCTTTCTTACTGTTTCTTAAAGCAGCTTTATTAAAAAGCTATTTTAAAAAGCAGTAAGAAAGTCGTCCCAAACGAAGCCTAAATTTTCCCTTTGAATGTTACTCAATACTAAAGAATGACATGATCTACATAAGAAATCATATGATTTGCATATAAACATTATAAAATCTGGCCTATTGATTGAATTCCTGCTTGCTGACATATTTTAGCCTCTTTGAACTCCCAGGAAAGGAAGGTCCAGTGACTGAAGCTCTCTTCAATCTGATTGTAGAGGATATGAGAAGTGGTCCTCCTTCTGTTCGAGTTCCAGTTCCCTACTGAACCTTTGTGGCGAAGATCAGTATCTTTTGACCTGAAGAACTCATTGTTATATATGTTCATCGAATGTTAAATCTTGGCAGGTCATAAGAAACTTGTTATTGTGTCGTCTTTAATATTGATTGCAGAGAAGTGAATCTTTTTTCATTAGTTAATAGCAGACTTGGTTTGCTTTGATTCATTTTTCATTTTTGTTTTCTCCATAAGAATCACTGAAGACTTGGCATTAAGGATGTGAGTTTAGCTTGAAGGTCAGAGATTTTGTGGAGACAGATGAATTTTTGGCTTGGTTCGAGCTCGAGCTCGAGCTCGTATCGAACTCGATGAACCAAACCTAACTTGGTTGAACTTGAATTGAGCTGAGCCTGGATCGGATCGAACTTGTTCTTCATTGGATTGAGATATTTATGGATGTATTTGTTGCTGCATGTATTCTAAGTATTTATGTGTATATTCAGAGTTGAATTGTAGCATGTCTATCAAAGTATTTATATTGGGCTTAGCATTTGTCTCAAGCGATTGAAATGTTGTTGATGTTGGATTTATTTATTTCTTTGCTTAAATTGAAGTTAATGAGCCATCTTCGAGATCAGATCAAGCCTTCTATAATCAAATTCAGCTCCACTAGAGATCAAAATGAATTACCTTGAGTCATTCTTGAGGCGAAATCAGATCGACCAGATCAGATCATTTACAAACCTATTTGGCATTGTAATAGGTAAGGGTGTGCAATAACATTGGAATAACCAAAGAACTGGCACAAATAATTGATATATCATCAAAAAATTATGTTCCATCAAGCATGAATCTCAAAGCGAAACTAAGTTGGAAATTTCAAAAATTAAATTCAGGATCATATGAACTCCGATTTCAGCAAACTTACAATCGAACTGAACGTCTCGGAAATACAAACACAACAACATCATATTCGAGTCAATCTGAGCCCAAATGAGTCCAAATCAAATACCCGAAACACATTTAGAAGGTTCAAACCATAATTTGGATTACCAAACGTTTTCCAAACGTGACATTCTTATAATTGAATCTAGCGTCTAGACAAGACAAATCCAACTAGCCCAAGATTGTCAAATTCTTATATCATTAAGACATTCAAATGCCTAATAAATGGTCCACAATCAAGGGATTCAACATTGGCCGTCCATTCAAACCACTCACAAATTACCCTTGATCTTTTTCCTATTTATTGATTATGCCACACTTAGAAAATTATATATAGACCCCTCATTCTTCATTGAGGGGAAGAAGGGACCAAGCAATGAAAAAATGAAGAGAAGGAAGAAAGTTCCCTTGCCACCGAACTCCTCCTCGACCACCTCCCGGACACCAACCATTGTCGAACTTTCGTCGAACGTATGCCCGACCACCGACTGACTTATAACTTTTGTCCATCGTTGAACTTTCACCGGCCGCCGGACTTCCGTCCATCGTCGGACTTTTTCCCGTCATTGGAATTTCATGGGACTTCTACCCAACGCTGGACTTCCGCCAGACGTCGGACTTCAATCAATTGTCAGACTTCTGCCCATCATTGGAATTTCATCGGACTTCTACCCGACGCCGAACTTCTACCCATCGCTGGACTTTTGTCGGGCTTCTACCCGATGTTGAACTGCTACCCGACATCAGACTTCCTGTGACGCCCCAGGCATCCATAGTGAAAGGATTCGTCTGACATTCTGATCGAACTCCATTTCAGTTGCCTTGCTCGGACCTGAAATTGTTAACCACATATAATGAGCTTAAATAGCCCAGCAGGTCACCAAAGCCTACAACTGAAATCAAAGCACGGTACTGCTATCAATATGCATGTCAGCCAATCAAATCCATAACAGTCAATGGTCAATGAGTCTATGCAGCGAAAATCAACAGTCGATGAAATCAATAGTCGATGCAGCGATAGAAGAATCGATAAATCAAACTCAATAAATCAGTACGTCAAATCTCAGAAGAATCCGTACACAGAAGAAAATCAATCGATCAATCAAATCAATCGTATCGAATCAATCGATCAAATCAATACTATCTAGTCAATGAAATCGATTAGAAAAGCAATACAATAAAGCTCAATCTATACTAGCAATGAATCAAATGCAGTAGGTAATACGGTGCAGTTAGTATATGAT